CCCCAAGTCTGCTCTCTGCTGGAGGAGGTGGGGGTCAGTCCTGGAAAGTGTCAGTCCCCTGTGCAGGCCAGCGCCGAGGGCCTGGTTGTGTTTCACAGTAGCCCAGCCTTGGCTTCTGTCCTGTTCTGTTTGTGAGGAAACTGAGGCACTGGGCTAAGGGGCAGACCTCTTGAGTCTGGCCTGGCTGGAGTGTCCCCATCCCCCTCCCTCCTCCTGCCCGGCCCTTCTAGAATCCTGTTGTGGTGTCTCGCTCGCCCACTCCAAGACTGAGGGCCAGGGCGAAGGCGTTTCCTAGCAGACCCAGGACATAATTCTGTACAAAGGCCAGTAGGCACCCATCTCTCTGCTTTGCAGTGGGGGGCGGGGTGGGGAAGTGCCAGGAGCATGCCTCCCGGTGCTGGGGTCCTTTGGGAGTCTTTCACAGCAAAAAGCCCACACGCACTGCCTTCTAGCCCATTCTGGCTCATAGCCACTCTGTCGGGCCGAGAAAGCGGCCCTGTGGGCTTCCAAGGCTGTAAATCGCTACAGGAGCAGACAGCCTCATCTTTCTACTGAGAGCAGTGGATGGGTTTGAACCACCAATCTTTTAACACCTACTGTGCCCCAGGACTCCTCCTTCCTAGACACTCACTGCCATCGAGTTGATTCCGATTCACTGTGACCCTGTAGGACAAGGTAGAACTGCCCCTTTGAGTTTCTGACACTGTCAGTCTCTTTTTCTTTTGTAATAGTTTATTGGCGTCTGCGTCACACGGCTTAGAATGTTGATTAAGTGGCATTCAGAAGAGTGTGCAGTTGTCACCACGATCGATCTGAGAGCATAGAAAAACCACTATCAAAAAGAAAGCAGAAAATCATTAAAAACAGAAACCAGATGGGGGGAGTGTGGAGTGGAGATCCAAAGCCCATTAGTAGGCCACTGGAGATCCCCTTGCAGAGGGGTCTCGGGGAGGAGACGAGCCAGTCAGGGTGCGATGTAACAACGATGAGAAATACAACTTTCCTCTAGTTCCTAAATGTTTCCTCCCCGCCCCCACTACCATGACTCGAATTCGACCTTGCAAGTCTGGCTAGACCAGAGGAGGTACACTGGTACACATAGGAACTGAAAATACAGGGAATCCAGGGAGGATGAGCCCTACAGGACCAGTGGTGTGAGTGGCGAAACAGGGAGGGTAAAGGGAGAATGGGTAGGAAAGAGGGAACCGATTACAAGGAACTATATGTGACCTCCTCCCTGGGGGACGGACAACAGAAAAGTGGGTGAAGGGAGACGTCGGACAGGGCAAGATATGACAAAATACCCATTTATAAACTATCAAGGGCTCATGAAGGAGTGGGGAGCGGGGAGGGAGGGGAAAAATGAGGACCTAATGCCGGGGATTAAGTGGAGAGAAAATGTTTTGAGAATGATGTACAAATGTGCTTTACACAATTGATGTGTGTATGGATTGCGATAACAGTTGTATGAGCCCCTAATAAAATGTTTTAAAAAAAACAAAACAAAAAAACCAGAAACCAGTTTAAAATGAGTCAAACTGGAGGGTTCAAGTGCTGAAGTGTTACATTGTAACCTAACTCCCTCTGCCTCAACTGGATGTAGGACATGCTCTGTCTGACCGCAGGGCTAGGCCATCACATCCTTGGACTGTGTTCTCAGGGGCTTCCCAGAGGCTTCATCCATGTGTGGACCGGCAAATGAGTTTTGGACTTCATTGTCATCCATCGCTTTCTGCAAACCAAGTGAACACAGTTTAAACTCTGATGCCAGTCCCTCCTTCGGATTTGGGTTTGATTGTTTGCAATCCTTGGATCACACTGTGCTTCTTCCATGTGGACTTCACATCCATGCTGATGTGAAACTGTAACTCTTTCCCGGATAGAAAGCTTTCTCCCCAGGAATGGTATCCAGTGGCTAACCTTGTGGTTAGCCGCCCACGGCTGCCAGGATTCATCTTTCACAGAAGGAGGGTTCAGAACCTGGCGGAGACCGTGTGAGAGGGCTTCCGCCTGCCTAGATCTTGTCGCCGTGACCCAGGGAGGCTGGCAGCAGGGTGTCTCGGGGTGGGAATTTGCTGTTTGGAGCCAGCATGACCGGCTTGAGGAGCCATATTTTCCACTGAGCAGTTCCTTTGCCCTACACATTGGGCTGGCTGACCACAAGATTAGTGGTTCGACCCCCACCAGCAGCTCCTTGGGAGAAAGTTGAGGCTGTCTGCTTCAGGTTTTACAGTCCCAGAGACACTGTGTAGGGTCTCTGCGGGTCACAGTGGACTTTGTGGCAGGCGGGGACTCTGCTCTAGGCCCTCGGATGACTCTGGTGTTTGTCCAGGGGACTGGCAGCGAGCAGAGGGTAGCGGAGATTCTTTTGTTTTGGGGCAAATGTACTTTGAGGGCCTGCTGGGCGGGCACCAGGGAGCCACGGAGAGGGAGCCAGAGCCGGGGACTCGGAGAAGTCCTCCTGTGACCCTCCTGGGGCCCTGTGGGGTCCTGGGAAGGGTGATGCAGGTGGGGGGTGGGGGCTGGGGTAGCACAGCAAAAGCTGGGTGTCACCCCCAGTGAGTGCCACCACGCCCGTGCGACCAGCAAGGGGGCCAGAGCAGCAGGCCGGGCCTAAAGGGCTGAGTGTGGTGGGCCCCTGTGCTGCTGTGCTCCCCGCATAGCTCGTTGGACCCCCTCTCGTGCCAGGAGCTCTGGCTTTGCGGGAGCCGGTTCCAAGGACGTGTGGGTGCTCCTTCCCTCCCCCAGCCCTCTGGGGAGGCGCTTGTTTCCTTCCTGATAACGTGCCATGCTGAAATGAGGCAGGACCCGTGGGACTCAGGCCACCTGCCGCCGCCGCCGCCCTGGTCTGTCTCTCTTCTTCTTCAGCCTTCTGCCGAGCTGTGGCGAGCCCTCTGCTTGCCTGGCAGCATCTCTCCCTGGGGAGGGCTTGCTCTGCAGTGGGGCCTGTGAGTGCTCCTGCCCCGAGGCCGGGGCAGCTGGCATTGGTTGGCTTTGTCATCTGCACTTGGGACTTGGCTGCGTGGGCCCCTGAGGTGCTCTGAGATGGGGCCATGCGACAGTCAAAAGCCCGAGAGTGTGTATGCCTCTTGCTTTAACATCTCCCCCACCCGCCAAGCAAGGTGCAGGTGAATCCCTGGGCAGTCCTGTGCCTCCTCAGCAAGCCCTCCAGCCGCCTGTCATCCAAACTCCAACTCAAAGTGGACCCTGGCAGGTGGCCTGCCCCGCCAGGCCCCCCTGGTTCTTGTTTGTGTTGCCGGGCCTTCTCCCAAAACTCCCAGGACACCTGCCCTTCTCCACTGTGACTGCGCTTGTGCTGGGTCCACCTCCCTGGCCAGACACAGAACGTGCCTACCTTGCTTCCTATGAGCCCACCCGCCCTCCCCACCCGAGCTCTGGCCCTTGTGGCTGGGACGTGCTTTGGGCAGCAGGGGAACAGGGCCTGCAAGGGGCATGCATGGTGACCCTCTCTGTCCAGTTGGGTGGCCGTCTCATGTAAGCTGACCCAAGTCATTTCTCTGGTGTAGTCACTCATCCTGCCCCTTCTGAGTGCTAGGCCTGGGGGCACAGGCTTCAGATGCTTTTGGGAAAAGGAAGGGGCGGGGTTTGCACAATGTGGAGTGACTGAGCGGCCTGCCCCTGGCCCGCTCCCTGCATGGTTCTCCTCCCACCTGCACGTGGTCCCTGTGCCAGGCACCCAGCCCTCTCGTGGTGCCCATTTTACCGTTTGGGGAACAGGCCGGTGTGGAGGCGCACAGTGCCCCAGCATGCTGTCCCATCGCGCTCTTTCTGAGTGCCACCTTGGGCAGGCCCCATTAGCCTGAGCCCCAGTGGCCTGACTCCCATGGGGAGGAGTCTGGCAGCAGCATGAGGTGCACAGTGCAGTCAGGGAAGGCTCCCTGAAAGAGGGAACAGACAAGCCCTGGTGGGGGGTAGGGTCAGCGTGTCAAAGGGAGAAGTCCGCTGTGTCCTGGACCCCAACCCCCCACCCACCCAAATGTTCTTCCCTTTCCATTCCCTGAAGAGGATTGGTCTGTGGCTGGAGCTGAGCCCGGGCCTCGAACAGGAAGAGAATGGAGGTTGTTGGGGGTGCGGGGGGACTTCCATTTTTAGTAGCTGCTGCTGGAAGAGCAGCCAGCACTTCCTCTTGTCCCTCTTAGGGCTGGAGCCCGACTGCCCTTGGGAACTGGTCAGCTGAGGGGAGGGGGTGGGGATCCTGTCCTGGACTTCAGACAAGCTGGCATGCTCATCCCGGCAGCCAGTGCCCCTGCTGGACACCGTCTGGCTGGAGGGTGGTTGCCCCTTGACTTTGTGGGTGTGGCCTCAGTTTCCTCATTTGCCGGGCAGGGACCCCAGAGACGGAGTTTGTTAGGTTCTGGGGAAGGGCCAGTGCCTTTCGACCTCTTCCCGCCACCCCTCCCAACGGGTTCAGCCCTATCCTTGTGAGGCAGCGTGTATGCAGGAGCCCCAGTGACCCCTGGTGGTGGGGGGCCAGGGGAGGGGTGACCTAGCCCCAAAGCAGCAGCTTCCTCAGACACCCTCAGTCGTGGTCTTAGCGACTCCTCCGGGCCCCGGTGGCTGGTGTTGGGTCAGCTGATAGGGGTGGGGACAGCAGAGGGGCAGCTGTGCGAGTCAGAAGCGACTAAATGGCAGCAGGTTTATTCCGTTTATCAATTTAAAATATCTGTATTTTTAATTAAGCACTGGTTCCAGCTCTCCAGTAGTTTGGTTTGGTTTTGGTTGGTTACGCCCTGTGGTGTCCTTGGCAGAGCCCTGCACTGGAAGGAACATCAGCCTTAGGGGCCGACTGGCCAGTTTTGTTCCTGTGGCCTCGGCTCATAGCTAGTTGTCAAGTGAGTGACTCTTGACCCCAGATTCCTAGAGTGCCCGCCACGGACTCTGCAGCGGGACTGAGCTCCCGTCGTCCCAGGTGCGTCCACACCCCACCCGAAACCAGGCTGCCTCCCTTCCCCGCTGAGCCGTGCTCCTTCCTCTTCCAGAACATGCCGAGTTTCTGCACTGCAAGAACAAAAAGTTCACAGACTTCGACGAGGTCCGGCGAGAGATCGAAGCAGAGACCGACAGGGTCACGGGGACCAACAAAGGCATCTCCGCCGTGCCCATCAACCTGCGGGTCTACTCGCCGCACGGTAGGCAGCCAGGACGCGGGGGGTGGGGGTAGGGGTGGGGTGGGGTGCGGGGAGGCCCTCCTCTTCTCCTTACGCATGCCCCCTCCGAACCACCTCGCGCCCCCACTTTGGATCGACTTCCGGTGCAGAGAATCCCGTCTGGGTTCCAGAAAAACACAAAACACCACAGGCCGGAGTCCTGGAACCCCCACCAGCAGCTCCTTGGGAGAAAGTTGAGGCT